TGTGATAACTTCCTTCACAGTAAAAAAAGCATTATATCGTGAGAAGCTCTTCAGGTCACCAAAAGCAAGATGCATGCATTCCTTGTGAAGAAAAGTAGCACGATCTGGCTCTTATATTTAATAATGAAAATTTACAAAATACTTTTGGTATTGAAGGCACAGGAAAACTTCAACTCATGAGGCAATAAAAATACAAATACTGCAACACGATTCATTACTGATGAAATTATTAGCTGTTTAGGCACACTTTTGATAACAGAATTCAAATCCTAGAACATAAAACTGGTTCTGATGATTTTATGAATCCAGTAAAAATCACTACTCTGTGGTTGTAAAAAAATGAGATAAACAGAAGCTTGAAAGTAGGTGATTCATATATATTTGATTTTTATGTTTTAGCATCGATTACAAACAGAAGACAAAAATTTCGAGAAATAAAAAGCTGAGTATTTAACTGTGGGGGAAAGGGTGTGGGGGTATTTGTTGTTTGGGGTTTTTTTTAAATATTGATGTTTTTTTAACACCATCCAGCTGACCATTTAAGCTTGTCTTAGAATTGAAGGCATCCAATTTAGGAAAAAAGAAGTTTTATCAGTTGGAAGATTTACTAAGCTCCTAGAATTCTAACACAGGCACTGTATAAACAGCTCATAAATAAACCATAGTATTGCCTAAGACTAAATTATGAATATAGTACAAAGCATTAAATTACAAAAACACTTTTATAGGACTTTGCTTTCTCATGGTACTACTCTTTGTTAACTGTGACTCTTGGCCTTAAAAGATCAAGATCAGACATCTGATCTTGATGAAGAAGCATATAAGTGTCCCAATTTCCCTGTGAACATTTTCCTTCACTTATAAAAATGTACTTCTCACCTTACATACTTCAGCATCTGCTATGTGAATGTCTGCCCTAAAAACTGCCTTACATGGTTACTGCCTCCGTACATTGCCAGTAGCTAGAAAATACTCTAAACCCCCTGCTTCAGAAAGTCATTGGATATCCAAATCATAAATTTCAAATTCCCAGCTGTCACCGCCTAACTATGCCTTCTGCATTTCAGCTTAGTCATGATGTATGACATTATCACTCTCTTACACTTTATATGTTCTTCAGCATTAACCAAACAACTTGCTTAGTACTCCTTTTGACCATGTTTCCCACAGCAGCAATTAATTCATCTAAACAGTCATCACGAACTCACTCCTGTAAAATGCAATTTTGTTTACTCCTTGTTTCTGTATTTCTCTCTGTATTTAGTTCACTTTTTCCTCTTGGTACCAGGGAATGTAAGTGTAAGGGGGAGGCGGAGAAAAAAAAGGGATGTAACATTTTCATGTAACAGTTTATTACCTATTTAGAACTCTAAAATGATATAACATGGTTTAAAGATCCCACCCTATGACTAAAAAATTATACATTTGAATGAAAGGAGACCTTTTCTGCAACATCTTTTTCCAAGGAACCATAAAGAAGTGTACTTAAGTTGGATTACGAGAAAGCCTGGAAACAACAGTGAAAAAGGAAGAAGTAGCAAGTATCAGCAACATATAAACAGGTGGAACAGTGCAGCTGTCGCAGGACATTATGGAAGTGTTTGGTTGGGGTATTTTCCCTAAAGTGACACAAAGCTCCAGTACTCTTCTCCTGGAATTAATGCAATTCGTAACTTTGGATTGCGTGTGCCACACATTAAGCATTAATACAGATTATTTATGTATTCTTCCAAATGAAGGTGAACTAAGGAAGAACATAGAAGCTTATAGGGAGCACTCTTACATAGGGTCATCATCTGATTTATCTACTGTAAAACCACTGTATGAGAGAACATGGAGTCTAAAACTGGAGTTACCTCAAACATCTAAGCCACAGCAAAGTCCTATAACTAAGCAGTTTGGACCTTCAGTGACAAACAACTACTTACTTGGCAAGAACCCATCAAACATGTTATTTATTAAAAAATTAGTTTTAATTAAAACAGAAAGTATTGTAGTTCTACAGTGTGGTGTCATTTTTATTTCTCTAATGAACTGTGTATAAGTGCACACTAGCATACTCACGCAAACCACAGTGGCTGTTCCACCGATCTGGGTTTAAGTCTCTTTCTTAAGACAGAACCAAGAAAAATACATCCTGTCCATGAACAGTAATCAGTATGTCTACATGAATTTATAGGCATGTTTAATTTACTTATAAAAAAACACAAAACCAAACCAGACATGAGTCATTATTTGCACTTCTTCTGAAGTTAAATCCTTGCTAGAAAGACGTACCATTAAATTAATACGTAAAAAAAATATTTTAATAGTTACAAACAAACATGTAAATTTATTTACATCTACATGTTTCTGAAAGTCAGTATTGCATGTACAAAGTGGAAAAATTAAAAAACAAAGCAAACACCAGCAATTAATCAGGGAGACTTATCATCCAAGGGTGACCCACTTATAATGCTGGAGACTGGAATAGGTCCCACTTGATGACTGTCAAAAACTAGATGCATGACCTCAGATGGTTTGCATAATTTATCTGCAATTCCATTTACCCAGCCTTAATTGGGGAAAATCTAACTTACCTGGATTGCAGTTTGTCATCAAAATAGAATGTGTCCTAGAAATGCATGTTACCATTCAGATACAAAAGTATTCATACACAATACTTTAAGCCTCCAGAATCAAGTACTCTCCATTGGAACATACAGAGTCTTTGCCATTTATTACTTGTTTGATGAATGTTTCAATCTTCTAGAAGAAAAAGGGAACCATTTGCTTACTACCTGCTGAGAACATTAATACAGCACTTCAAATCTAATAAATGAATGAGCAGGGGACCATTGGATTTTGCAAGTTTATTGCATGGTAGTTACATTACTTCTCAACTGGCCAATCTTTAATGATATTTTTGAAACGACATTACTTAACAAAACGCATTTCCTTTAAATAATCATGTACCCTACAAATTGTCTTTAAAACTAAGCAAAGAAATTAGGCTGGGAGCACTCACTGGATCAAGCCGCTCATTTGTGAGTAGTCCCTATAAACAAGGATTTGCCAATCTGCCAAACTAATTCTCCTACTCTGAAATTAATATCAAAATTGATAATACCACTCAATGTAAGTTACAGATCTCTGCTGTAAGCAGAGAGGTGTTATCATCAGTTGGCGTAAATCTACACTGTTCTTAAAACCAATGGAACTACATCAATTTACAGCTGCTGAATATTTGTCCCTGTGTCTGTTTTTAGCACTGATAAAACCACTGAACAAATTTTAAAGCTCCCATTGACTGTAGCAAGACCAATGCCTACAGGAGGCAAGAGAGACTACAAGTAAGCCATCCTAGAATTAGTGCACTTTTTCCCTGCTATTAATTCCAAGTTTAAAGTTAGTTGTTAACTTCCTGGGAGGAAGCCAAGAGCACAGCAGATTTTAGAACTTCTGAGGTTTCTTTCATGTAATCCCAGAAATTTTGTTTAATAACAGTGATTTATCAGGCCAAGTCCAGTTTACTGTAATCATGCAAATAACCCCCATAAAGCCCAAAGGAAAAGCAGCACCATCAGGAAAACATGATTTGGCCCACAGTTTTACTCCAACAGAATGTAGTTTCAAAGTGACTGTTGCACTGCTGTTCTCTCCCTGATAGCTATAATTCCACCTGTGTTTAAAATCTCTTTGCATTTCCTCTACCACCCTTATGTAATTTTTCCTTCATGGGTACGATGTGGTGCAACACTTGTCTAAGCAATCCTCACTTGCACACTTAACCCTAGGGTACTCAAAAGGACTAGAATACAGCGAAAAGAAATAATTGCTCGAAAAAGGATTTTGCAGGAGGGGTACTCAGTTGTTTCTTAGACCACCATCCTGTAAAACTGCGGGCAACACAGACAAAATACAGTTGTTTCGCAGAAGACATCTTTAATCAAGGCGTGTTTCTCTACACGATTCTAAGTGTATGGATTCTTGCAAATAGCTAACAAACATATTTCTGAGTACACTGAACTAAACAGGGCAGTTTTCAAAAGTATCTCCATGCATCTCGCCAAGTGGCATACACCGTAGTTATCTATAGGTATTTTCCTTTACACATAAATAGCAAGAGATTTACAGCCACTTGCATTCTGTAAGTATTGCATGCAACGATGATTTTTAATAGCAACTGAATTAACTTTTAACTGCAAGGAATAAAAACTCAAAACTTCTGCTTCAGGATGCTACTAATAAGAATAAAAATAGTTAATTATTAAAACCGGTTATCAGAAGGAAAAAAAACAACTTCAGATGTTCTTTAGCGCTCCTCCATTGTAAGATACTTCAATATTTAAAAGAAAAAGAATTAAAATGGAATATTCCTCTTCAACTTAAGCATACCCATACAGAATTAGATTTATCAACAGCATGAAATAATCTCCTACCTACAGTTTGCTTCATGCAACTTTTTAGAAGAACATTTTTTAAAAAATCCTCCTAGACACCACAAAACTGTTCAATTTAAAATCAGCTAATCGATCACCTTTCTGTAAAGCTGCATTTCTTTTCTTTAATGTAATAGAAATATTTGAGGGATTTCCGTTTTTACCTTTGCATTTTTCCTTTTCCAGTATCCATAACCAATCATCGCTCTGCTCTTCCATTATGCTTCATATATTGCAGAGTGAGAAGCATCTTCATTAAATAGTATTAAAAATAGAACACACCCGATCTCCCCACCGGAGCATGCTCTGACAGTGCTGATACCACAGCTTTCAAGGTAACCATGCCCAGCTGGGAACTGAGAGGCAAAGTCAGTGCGAGATTAGCAATTTGCAAGCCCAATTGTGCACACAAACTTGCCTCGATCCGTGACGAAGACTGCTAAAACAGAAATCAGCGTGCAGTTAAAGTATACAACTGAAAAGTTGCAGGTCAGTTTACAGTACGGGTTGGTTGTTTGGTTTTTTTTCCCCTCCCCATCACCCTCGGCTTCAATTGCTTTGTACTTGCCTAAAACGTACATATGCTATTTAGAAGAAGGCGCACCGGGCATGCATCTGGCTCAGCATTGCAACGGCAGAGAAGTCAAACAGATGATGCACAGACACTTGTGTCGCTCTCTAATGTCTTTGTTTCCCCTCCCGGCACATTTACAGCGATGTCACACGGCGGCGGGATGAGTTTTAAGCGAAACCGCACACACCTGGAAGCGCAGAGACACACCTAGCACGTAAAAATGCACTCGAAATCTGAGCGTGTTCCCCCCCGCAGGCTGACACGGTAAATGAAGGCAAAATAAATAACAGCAATTAAACAAGGCTGCGCAATGGCTGCGCTCGATGAGCACGTCTGGGTTAGAGTTACAAGCGATATCGTTTGAGACGCACAGACAAGTAGGCAGAACACACCAAGCGGAGTAACATGAACTGCTTTTTGTGAAAACAGGACACCTAATAATACGCATGTAACTCCCGAACTGGGACCCTCCTCCACTGCATGCAAAAAGAGATGCTAAGGAAGCACCAAGTAAATCTGTTGCCCTCAAATCGCCACCCTTCAGAACAATGCCAGTCCAAGCAGCCCAGGCTTGCCCTCCAGCAAACACGGTTTTGAAAGGGGATCCCTGGATGCTGTTCACAAATCAGCGAGTAAAAGTTGAGATTTTTTCCTTTAAGTTTGATCCGTTTTAGCTAAAATGACAGCTGAGAGGACGGAGCTCTCCCCTTCCCCCTCTCCCCCCGCAGATCCCCTCCCTGGCGCTCGTCTCCCCACCTAGGTTCCCGTACAGCAGCCACCTCACCTCCGCGCCGGACCCCGACCCGCCTCAGCTCCGGCCAGCAGCGCCTCTGGCGATGACCGGCCGGCGGCCGAAACTTTGGGAAGCCGCCGCCCTCCGCAGGGCAGACGGCCCCGCGACCACGCCGAGACCCGCAGCGAGCCCTCCCCGCCCTACCTGGCTGTCACCACCGCTATGCTGCCGCTCCGCAGTCCCGTGCAAGGCTCCGGCTCCAGCACCGATAGCATCCTGCCCCGCCGGACTATGAACGACACCCTTTTTTCTTTTCTTTTCCCTCCCACTCTGGTAAATACCGCATCTTAGAGCCGGAATCCTGCAGCCGCTATTAATAATTGCACATCGCACGCAATAAAGGCAAGCCCCGGCTGCATACACAGCTCCTGTTTCCCTCTTCCTCCGCTCCACATTCTCCAGCCGCCCTGACCTCAAAAATTAAAAGATCACGGGGAAAGGTGGGGGGGATGGGGCGAATGATTCCCAACGAAATGACAGAAAACATGCTGAAAGGAAAAAAAAAGACAAAAAAAATCGCAACAACAAAGAACATCACGCCACACAAATGTCGACAGATTCTGCTTTGGCTTCTTTGGGGTTTGTTTTCGGGTTTTTTTCGTTCCTTTTTTTTGTTGTTGTTGTTTTTGTTTGTTTTGTTTGTTTTACCTTGCCTGCAAACGGGATCTGCCCCCAGCGTCTTGGCGGCTCGGGTTATTTTTGTTTGTTTGGTATTTTTGGTTGGCCGGTTTGTTTATTTTTGCTGCGGATACGCTGCTGTTACAGTACAGTGCGTGTCTTCCTGAAAGACATGGTCTCTTCCTCCGCCTCCGCCGCGGGAGGAGATCCGCCGCCGCGCAGCGCTGCTGCCCGGGCGCGGTGGCCGCGGCGGCGCCGCCCGACCCGCCGGCCGCCTCCTGCCTCGCCCCGATCCGCCGCCGCCGCCTGCCTCTGCCCGTCCTCTCCCGGCGCCCGCCTGGATCCCCGTCTGGCTCGCTCCTCTCTGCCTGTCCTCCGTCCTTTATCTGCCGCGCTCGCCGGCTGTACTGTCTGTCTGCGAGTCTCTCCCTCTCCCTTTCTCTGTCTCCCCGCCCACGCAGCGTGGTGCGCCCCGGACCGCAGGCAGCGCCGCGCTCCGGCTCCGCTCCGCGCCGGCTCCGCGCTCGCTGCGCTCAGCGCCAGCGCCGCCGCCCCGGCTGGCACTGCCTCGGCCGCCGCACAGGAGCGGCCGGCCCCGCCGCCATGGCGCTCCCCGCCCTCACCCCACCCAGAGCCCCACGCAGCGCCCGGAGCTGCCCGCCCGGGCTCCGTGTCTGTCTGTGTGTGGGGTGGCTCTGTCTGTGTGTCTGAGTGTCTGCCCGCCCGTGTGCGTGTGGCTTCCCGCACGCCGGCCCCTCCAGTCACACTGCTTCTCCCCCCCGCCACCACCAGACAAACCCTCCCCGTCAGCCCATCCCCAGCCAGGAGCAGAGACAAAGCACCCGAGCGGGGCTAATAAGGAGAAAGCTCGTTAATCCCCTCCGATTCCTTGTTATTTGCTCCCACCCACTCCCCGTCGCCCCCAACACACGCTCAAACACCCCACCTCACTCTCCCAAGACAAAAAAAAAGAGGGAAGGAAATGGGCCCTTGACTCCAGAGGACAGCTTTAGTGAAGGTCGGGGGGGGGGCGGTTTTAATTATTATTTTTGCTTGTGAAACCTGACAGCCTCCGCGTTGATCAGCCGAGCTGCTGAAAGGGGAGGGGGAAAAAAAAAAAAAAGACCGCAGCAGATTTTGGGTAGTAGAAGATAAGCCACTGAAAATGGGGCACATGATCCCCTTCCCCCTCCCCTGCCCAGCATGACTCTATCTAGGATCTCGCTTGATGATATTTCTCCTGTAGCCTTGCTGCACACCATCAAGACAGAGGGAAACAGGCAATTCAGCGGCGCATGCATTTCCAATACATAAAACCTCTGCTATCCATTTAAAACCCGAGCCTCATTTTACCCAGTTGAATACATCCAGGCATTCATTCCGCACCCAGCCGAGAAAAGGGCATTTACCTCTTTGGTAGGTGGCTATTAATATGCAGTAAAATTATAGCTGTACAATGCCAAATGTAATTGCCATAGATCATTTAGAGCAGATCCAGCAATTCAGCTGCTGGAAATGCATGTCTGTGAATAACCATGCATCTGGTACAATGCCCTCTACTACAATAACCTGAAAGGAGACAGAAGTGTCTGGTACTAGCTGCAATTAGTAATCCTATGGATGAAAAATAAACAGTCAATAAGTACAAAGCAGCAAGGTCCTATGAAATATAGCGATTGTTTCTGTCTACAGCAATACAAATAACCCAACTCCCACAGACAGACAATTCGTATTTAAAATACACAGTTAAAAATGCACTCCTTTCATTATGTGCTTTCAGAAAGTCCTAGTTATGAAAGACAGCTTGCTACAATTAATGAACATAGTAGAACTTGCATACCAGTAAATATGGACAAATATACAGAAGGCTGGGGGAGGATGGAGGGAAATGTTTGCTTTAGTAGGTATTATCCTGGCACCCCTGGAATCCCTCTTTCCCATCAGAAGCAAACACCTGCTTTTACTGGGGACCACTGAATGAAATCAGACTGGAAGAATACAGTGAGCGATGAACCACAACAGGGTGTGCATTAGCCGGCTCTTGGTGCACGCCTCAAGTGATCAGAGGCATTCAGCCAGGCACACCAAAACCTGTTCTGCTAATGCACCTCCTGATGTGGCTTCCTCCTGGGATGGTCGTGTGTAGCTCCATCTACTTTTAAATTCATTCTTTAACATATTGCCACACTGTGCTACAAGTTCAATCTGAAAGCAAAAAGACCAACAGAAAGGCTATAAATGGCACTAGACTGCTACAGCTGGTGACAGGGCAAGGACCAGCTCTTTGCTTTTTGCCATTTGATGTTTCAGCCATCTCCACAGTAGGCCAAAGTTAATTTTCCAAAATGGCAATCAAAACTGTTCTGAACACGCACTGAAATGCACAGGACCTCACCTAGCTGCTGCACATCATTCTTTCCCTTCCAAGCAGATAAGCGAGAGAATGCACACTGCAACAGGACACAAAAGCATTGCTTCCTGGTGCCTTCACCAAAGGGCTTGCAACTCACCTGCAGGAGGAGAAGGGGTGAGGGTAGTCAATGTTTCAGAACCTTGCTCGAGTCACTAGATGCAATGAACCTGTACAACAGCCACGTGTCCACAGCTTGTGTCTCACCATTGAGATACTGGAGTGCCAAACCTACGTGTCAAATCTGTAAGTAGATAAAAATTAATCCAAGCTGTAGTCTGGCAGTTCGCTCTACCTTCTCCTATGTGGCAGGATGTGCTTGGGGCGAGCTACCAAATGTTAAAAGATGCCAGCTATAGCAACACCAAAGGAAATAATTGGGGGAAAATAACCAAACAGTATCACTCCAGTATCATGTAAGCAGTATTTCAACTCAGAACGGTGAGCAGCATCAAATACAGCATGTGCAAATAAGTGAAATTGCCTCCCTTTGTTGAGAAGTCAGCTCAGACCTTGTTGTTCAGATACTAACCTGACAGAATATGCAGCCTACATCCCCTCCTTCAGGACTTCTCTTTGCAAAAGAGAAACATCACAACCATTGCACAATCATAATTTTAAAGAGGTGGCAAACTACAGCAATGATTTGCTGCTGCCTGTCCTGATTTGTAAACATGCACAGGGATAACTGTCCACTTAAGCCTCATGAAAGTCAGCAGAAGCCATGTGTTTAAGCAGAGGCAGAATTTGATAAACTCTTCAGACCTCTGACACCTTTTTCTGTTTAAGTAGCCAAATTTTGAGGGTAATCAGGAAAAAAAAACAACACAGGACCTACTTCTACAAATACTTTCTTGAGTAATGCATTTAATTAATTAACCAGCAGCATATGCTTTCTAGGACTCTGGTATTGCCAAGTGCCCCTGCACAATAGAACCATGTGTAGCTGTGAAGCATATGTGTGCTATATGTACACAAAATTCCTACAGACGACACCAAACACTTCAGCTCAAGGTACTTTCAAGGCATGACAACAGATTATATTACTTGTTCACTGTGAGCACATTTTTTAACTATGATATCTCAATTTCACTTAGAAATCAAGAAAATCTTAATGGGCTTTCAAAAACCGGTATCTGATTGGAAGTATGAGATGTCAGACAAACATACAGAGCTTTTTGCAGTTCTGCAATCACAGGAGATTCTTGTGATAGAAGGCATAGAGTGTTACTAAATACATTAATAAAAGCTTGCACGACTGGTTGCAGATTTCTGCTGCTTCTAGTCATTTTTCAGTAAAAAAAACTCTAGCATATAAAGTCTATTGTGTTTTGGAGTTATGGAATGGTTCAGTTTGAGGCCGAACAGTATAAGCTAACTGTTGATGGTTTTTATCATAATTTTCTGTGAAAGAGATCAGTTTTATGGGGTTTTAATTTATTTTTAAACTTTTTCTTCCTTTTTATGTCCTACATGTTACAAACAAATTAATCATGCATGGTTTGCAGATGGACTTAAAAATACTGTGCTTCTATTTAAAGTGGCTCTTTACAATATGTAAATATAGCCAAATTGCTCCAGTTTTACATACTTCTCAGGAAGAGCTGAAACATTTTTCCAGCTACAACATCTCAAGTAATGGAAAATTAACCAAGCAATTTGTGTAAAGCATATACTAGTAGCTCAGATTTGATAAAAAAATGAAGCTTTATGCTCTTTCCAATGAATTCAGTAAGAATTTTGCAATGGATTTCATTAGGATTAAGGTCAGGTACCTAAATCTCAGACTCTCTCTTTGGAGAAAGATCAATGAACAACCCTTTAAAATATAATCTGTTGCTAGAGGAGCTGAGGAAGCTTTTTTTTCCACTG